TTGCTCTGTTCTATTACCAGGAACACACCCAAAGCCATTACAAAAAACACAAAGGGGGAGCAGCAGTTAGTGTAATTGCTATGTTGCTGGACTCCCATGTAGTCAACCGCGGTTCAAGTCCTAGACCTGGTGGCTTAAACTCACGTCAGGCGCATGTGCGTGCGTGCCTAAGATCCCAAGAGGAGAATGGAGGACAAGGGATTGTAGCCTGGCCATCTCCCCAGGGGGATGATTTCTCGTTTTCTGTCTCTGTCTCTCTCTGTCTTTCTGGTGAGCTCACACACCCTATAGCAAAAACCTCTCCAAAATAAAAAAAAGAAAAACGCAAAGGGTGTAACAACCTAAGATAGGTTTGGACTTCCCTTTTTGAAAATGATCTTCCAAATACTGTCCTCATGTAAATCAGCCACAGTGGATGACAGAGCTTAGGACAGGGTAATTCTTATGTCTTAAATAAGTATCTTCTAGGGCAGAGTTTATATGGTCATTGAAGGTTTGCTTCTTGTTCTATCAGTCCTTCACTTAGCACTTACAAGCAGTCGAACCTCAGTAGCTCAGCTGCTGGGAATTTGTTCTATTGACCCTACTGAGAACAGGTCAATACAATTATTAAGAGTCCCCATGGGTGACCAGACTTTATCTCCTTCTTTGTTTACTTAATGTGGACCTACATCTACCTGAGAATTCTGAGAGTTTCTTTTTTCTTTTTTTAGGGAACTTTTTGCTACCGGGGCACATGTGTTTGCCAGAGAGACAGGGACAGAAAGCAAGAAATTGCTCCCCAAGGGAGACGGCCTCCTCCATTCTCCTTTCAGGATTTTGGGCATGCATGTATACATGTTTGACGTGAGTTTCAAGCCACTGGGTCTGGGACTCAGACCACATTTGACTACATGGGAGTCCAGTGATGTAAACATTACGCCACATGCTGTTTCCACCAAAATTCATTTTTTACAGTGAATATCTTTTCTGCTTATTTTGAGTCCTAGCCCAAAGATAGTTCTGATTTGGAGACAATGTAAGTAATCTTCAATCTGCACTCCCACAGGTTGATTGACTCAAAGATTGTTCAACTCTGGTACCTTTTAAGAATGTAATTGAGGGAACAGCAGATGGTGTAATGGCTACCTCACTAGATTCCAATGTACCGTTCAACTCCTGGACCCGTTGGCTTCTGTGTGCATGTCCAAGTTCCTGAGAGGAGAATGGAAGAGAAGGGTTGCAGCATGGCCATCCCTTCTTGGGGGGTGATTTCTCACTTTCTGTTTCTTTGTCGTCTCTGTCTTTCTGGCTAGTGCAGTGATTGCTTAGGACCATCTCCTAATGAAAAAAAAAAAAAAAAAAAAAAAAAAAAAAAAAAAAAAAACCTCTCCAAAAAAATATAGAATGTTATTGTACGCAGGCGGAACAGAGTATGGGATTTGAATGTAGACAGACTGCTTTTGTTTGGTTTTCTTTTATTGATGATAGAGTTTAAGAGTATACTCATGACACAGAGAATGAGAGAGAAAGAAGCAGCCTCCACTGGGTCTAGTCACTACTGCAATCTTCTTCTTCCAGTCTGTCATCCTGGGCATTCAGGCCGGTGCCTGGCATAGAACTGGTTTGGAATCCTACCACCAGGCTGATTAGTTCTGTGATCTTGAGCAAGATCATTAACCTTACTGAGCCTTTTTTACCTTACTGCAGAAGGAGTGAATAGTAGGTACTCGGGATGTCGGTTTGAAGATTAAATTATCTCAACAAATATTTACTGAATATATCCTGTGCCAGGTTCCTTTCTAAGTGCTACAGATACCACAGTGAGCAGAACATAAAATTATCATTCTTGGGGCCACATGGAGGCACAGCATTAATGCAGCTGTATCCACATGGGAAAGATCCAGGTTTGTGTGCTGGGGCTTTCCTGAGTATGCCAGGTGCATGGGAGTATGTCCATGATTCGTGTCAACTGGGACAGGAAATGGATCACAGCATGAAGTTACAGTTGGGGTTAGGACCAGCAGATGATGTAATGGTTTCATTGCTGGACTCCCACATGGCTCACCATGGTTCAAGTCCCAGACCCAGAGGCTTGAAACTCACCAATAGTGCATGTTCATGCACGCCCAGAATCCCGAGAGGAGAATAGAGGAGAAGGGATTGCGACACAGTCATCCTCCCCGGGGCATGATTTCTTGCTCTTTGTCTCTCTGTCTCTGGCGAGGACACATGCTCTACGGGAAAAAGAAAAAAAAAAAGAAACTGAGGGAGATGTCTCTTTGTCTCTCTGGCAAGCACACGTGTTCTATGGGGAAAAAAATCTCTCAAAAAATTGAGAGGGACCTCTTTTTCTCTTATCAAATAAATAATTAAACAAAACAAAACAAAACCAAAGATTACCATGTGGCTGATGGTGTCTTAAACGGGGTTAAATATTTTCCTTTTGCCTTTTGGTTATTAAGTTAACAAAGCCTGGGAGGGAATTGGACTCAGATTTCTTGTACTTGTAGTGCTAAAATAATTATATTTTTTGATACTGCAGATTTTAGGTTATAACCGAGCTGCCAGAGCTTCCTAGATATTCAGCAGGGCCGTGCTTAGATTTTAACCATTTTTTTAAAGTTCCTAAAACTTTAGTTATCCATTGGGTAACATTTAGGTTTCAGTAAATATTGTGCACTGTATTTCCTTTTGTTAATATATACTAGTTATCAGTAATCATAATTTGCATTATACATTTTTGGAGGAGGAAATACACATTCGTGAGTGCATGAAAATTCTACATGATAAGCTGTTACTGTGATATAGAAAAACTTTCTCCTGAGATTTGTCCCTGGCCAAATTTACAGGTGCACAGCCAGCCACAAAAGGAGCTTTTGCCTGTGGTTATGTCATGAATGGCACAATAGCTCCTGTTTAGTGGAGATGAGGCCAGTGATTAAATGATCTAGAAAGATCTCCCAAAAAGTTCTTCTGCTTGGCATTGCCAAAATACATTCTCACCCTCCCAGGTATGACATCTGATGATCAGCAAGTAGGCTAGGTAAAATAATGATAACAGGATACGAAGCATAATCACACTGATTATTCAGTATAACTTTATATACGTTATAGAAAAATGGATGATTTTCTGCTGAGTTTGAAGCAATGAATGAAGAGGTGGAGTTTAGATATGCATTAATGTTAACGAGCCAGAAATAATACCATTGTCATTTGTAATCCAAACAGGCCATCAGAGTCCGCCTTATCCCAGTGTAAAGATTTGATTTGCAGGTATTTTTCTTCTGTGTGAGATTTGATAAGATTTGATAAGACATAAGCTTATTGCCAGCTATACATTGAAATTCCACATGAATGCACCATTGTAAAACTATTGTTAGCATCTCAAACTGTTGGTGAAATGCCAGGCCAATGTCATCTGAGATAACTAGATCATAATGAAAAACCAAAAGGTCTTTAAAATGCATACCATGTCTCTGCTAGCACACACGTACATTTTACGTGGGTCTCTTCAGAGCTAATTATACTGTTTTAAAACAATAATAATAGAGAAGATAGAAGAGGAAGAAATAAAACTACTCAATTGTGGAATCATTCGCCTGAATTTCTCAGAATGCCACATTCTAATTATTAAGGTATCAACAGTCAGAACAATTATCCAGAGGAGAAAGCATGAGGCTAAGAATGTCTACTGTCTTAATATTTCCCACAAAATCACGGCTTTCTATTTTCTCTAGGAATATAAACAATAAGTTGCCAGAAAGATGTTCACTTTTCTATCCCTTACATTTCTTTTGTCTGCCTGACACCTAGTTCCATTTGGTTTAAACACTCAGTATTTAAGCTTGAAAATAATAATACTCTATTTTCCGCTTTTTCCTCCCATAAGCAAAGATTTTTTCATAGTAGTTAAAGATGTAGTAAATAGAATTCAGACTTACCAATGGGTCTGTTTTTAGTTCCACCATCTTTGTACTCTTGAGAAAGTATCTAAGGTTGGAAGGTAAATATTTATCCTGACCCAGGTTTATCTAAGAAGCTTTTTGTCACTTATATTTTCCCACCAATCTTCAGTACCAAGAGTATTTGAATCTTTGGGAGCTTAAAAACTTTGTATTTTTTTTCTTCTTACAGTATGGGTGAGATGATTTGATCAGCACCTTGGTCCGCTGCACTTAGTATCTTAAATAATCACTGGGTCCAAAAAACAATGGTAATCTCTGTGAGGATTCTCAGGATTCTAGCTTCAAAGATCATACCTAAATCCATATACTGCTGGTAAAAATTGGCATAAACTTACTGGAAACTAATTGGATAATGTTTCCTAACTTGCTGCTGGTATACATGTAATTTGACAGTATTCATCAATGGCCTTAAGATCTACAGAGCCTTCAACTATGTGAAAGTAATTTAACCTTCAGACATTTAAAGAGTTTCATAAAAGAGTTCATTGAGCAATTTTTAGTCAATCAAAAATTGATAACCTTTTACTACCAATGTTCAAGAACAGGAATTGGTTAAATATATATTGGCACATTTAAAAAGAAATGGGGTTTGGATAAGAATGATCAAGGCCGATATTCTGCCATGTCACAAATTCTCATGCTGCAACATTGCAATAAAAACTTAAAGCAAAATTCATGTCCAGGATGATCTTAACTATATATAAATAGTATGAACAGAGAGGAAAAGTAAGACATATACCAAAATATTAATAGTAGTTCCTTTGCTAATTTTATTTCTTCCTTATGTTCCCATCCCCCCCCCATATATCTCTGTTATCAAAATTTCCTGTGATGGACATAAAATTTCAAAAATTAAGATACAGAAGAAAAATACCAATGGAGCCATTGATGTACTATACATTTTTGTGTCTATTCTACCTCTTTGGCAAGCCCCAGACTGCTTTCTGCTGTGGCGTTCTCTTAGGCCTTTACAATATACATTTTCCTACTGGAGAGAAATCAGCTATAGAGAGGTGATTAGAATCTGCATCAACTAGTATCTTTCTTTTTCAGCACACAACGGTTTTGCCCTTTATATTGATCGAGATGAGGACGTCACACCATCAGTACCCCAGCCGAAGCAGCGTCCTCCCTGCCATACGCACCTTCTCTATTGGCTACATTTTATGGGTGTGCTGGGTGCATCACGTAACTGGCATGTGGGTGCGTCACACCATCAGTACCCCAGCCGAAGCAGCGGCCTCGCTGCCATATGCACCTTCTCTATTGGCTACATTTTATGGTAAGGACCATGCCTGTTGGGCTATGGTATTGTATTCAATTTTGCACAGCTAAATTTGGGCACATATTTCACTATGAATATAATCACTAACAGATTCACACTGCGTGCCTCGTTTGGTCCAAGACCTGGGCTTTGTCTCGTTTCCCCAGATGCTTATATTTTTAGAAAGTATATGCCAAACCTCACACAACAGGAATTTGTTGAACAATCCCATGTAAGCAGTGGTTCTTCCAAGGCTACATTTTTCAACTCTTTTTCAAACTAAATGTTTTTCTTGGACACCAGTTTTATTGCTTAAGGGCTTTTTTGCTTAGGATTTTGTGTTGTTGCTTTTGTTAGGGGGTTAAGGGGTTCTAGCAAACACAACTGAGAACAGAAGAAATGACCTCTTAGAGCAAGAACTTTAAACTTCATTGGAAACGGGTAAAAATGTACATTTCCTGAGTCCAGTTAAAATCTAGCCTAGAAGTGCTATTACATAGAAAATACATTTATTGTTTTGTTCTTAAATATTGGGGTAAATAAACCACAGGGAATCTTTATTTGGTGTGTTGGACATAACTAAGTTCCAAGTGTGACATACTCGATTTATCTGATAAAAGAGCTTTTGCCTGGTGAGTTTATTTCACGTCAATTTCAGTTTTATCGTGTTCTAACACTTCAAAAATTATTTATCATAATATAGAGGATTTCTTATTTCTCTTTATAATCCCAAATCCTCTTTGATATATTTACACACAATGGAAGGCCCTTCTGCCAGCATTTTTGCCTCTTTGGACTCTTCTGTACTGAATTCCATGTCACCATCTCTCTTTGTTAGCCTGAAGAGCGAGACCACATTTTTCCAAACACCCCCACAGCAGTATTTAATCCTAGCAAAAGCCCAGAGCTCTTTAGGAGGTCCATTCTGCATGGAACAGCTTAGAAATTTAAAACAAAGGTCACAACAATACTTCACATACTTTACACAAATGATCACCGAATGCTCCAGATCTGAGCAGAGAAGGAATTAGCTGCCAAAAAGTCACACCATGTGGCTGAATCTGAAGGGACATCCAAGCGACAGACCCCAAAACAAGCCTGTGGTAAAGTTCATCCCATCCACCACTCCATCAGCTAATGAAAGATCCTTCACAAGGACTGGGGAAGAGTTTCTTTTTCTCATCACTTTCTAGGTATTCCCCACCACACACACACCCGAAACCTGAAGTATTGACTTCCTCTGATAGAAAAGGTACAGATGATCCGAACTCACGAAGTTATGTCTTAAAAATGAATTCATGGCTTTATCCATGTGAAGTTGATGGTCAAATGACCATTACCTTTCAGAAAAGTCAAATACGGAAGCTGCCCAGATTTTGCAGGTATGCTACAATGTTTAACACAGATCTACAACTGTCTATAGCATTAGTTGAAAAACCAACTTCTCATCCTCCCACAACCACCCCAAAAAAATCTCATTGCTTTACAGTTACATTTGCTGACCTGTAGGAAAGAGAAATTCTTCACTCTGGGAACTCTGAGTGTATTTCTGCAAATTCATTTGTATGTAATTAAAGTATTTGCATTTTGTAGAGCCCCAGAGGTTCCAGGAACTCTGTTCTTTCTGATGACCTTTCTTCCATTGTGGGTTCAATCAATCCACATTCCAAAGAGACACAAGGGAAACACCACACAGTCCTCCTTATAGACCCCCAAGGCCCCTCATTAAAATGAAGCATTCCTCATGTTCTCCCTGCCAAGGGAGGCTTGCCAGTTCCACGTACTCCCTGAGCAAACCAGTACTTGTTTGGACATGTATTTGCGTTAACCAGCAAATTCCCTCAGATTTGTTCTGAGGAAGCTTTCAAAGTAGACGTCCCTTTGGTGTTCTGCCTGGGCATTCACAGTAATGCGAAGAGCTAAACAATGCCCCTCACATCATGTCACATTACAGAAACCCAAGGATTATAATTGTTATCGAAAGGTACTGGCTTCTGCTTCCTTCCAGACTATCTCAGGGCCAACATACCAGTGACACAACAGTGAAAAGTTTGGAATATGAAATCTTTTGATAGCGTACTAGTGCTGTAACTGGACATTCCAGGATCTCATGCCAAGATGGGACAAAGCATTCTTCTTACCATGTGCTGATTATAAAATAAATAGGTCTTTTTTACAATAGAGAGTATGGTTGAGATAGATCTTCTTTACAATACAGAGTATGGTTGACAGCCAGGACTGCTAGCCAGGCTGTCTATCTGCCTTGCTTGGCTCAAATTCTGCCATGCTCTCTGATCTCACAAGTCTCCCTCCGTACCTAAATCTATTTTCTTCCTAGGTTTGGACAGTGAGGGTAAAGAAAGCAGGGAATACCTGCACTGTCTCTCACTGACTGCTACACACTGGGCTCCCACTCAGCCCTATCTTGGTCTTGCTAAACCCCAGCATAGCAACTGAAGGCTATCCCCATTCAGGATCACTTCTTTCTCCTTACCTTATTCATCTCTCCACTTGCTCAGATATTTGGGACATAAATATCTCACTGTTCATTTGAGGGTGCTCTCAACTCCTTTTCTGGACACCCTTCCATTGTCACCCCACATTTCTTTGCACCTTATTTGCAGGATTTCCCCTAATAAGTGAGAGGATCCCTAATATCTAATGCTGGAGGCAGCATAAAGGTCTCCTTGGTATCTAATACAACACTAAATATTAGGAATCAAATTCTTTTGAGCCAGGCACCATGCCAAGTACTTTACAAATGTTATATCATTCCTCCAAACAACCCTTTGAGATAGGCATTATCTTACCCATTTTACAGAGAAGGAAACTAAAGCTTAGTGTGATTATCAAGACAAGTCACTGGGCCATTGCCAGAGTCACAGTACAAGCCAAGCTGTGTGACTCCAGTCTATACTATTAACCATTTCAACTATGGCCTCTTGTTGTGTGGAGAGTAACTCTATAGATGAACATTGTTAATGAGCTCTTGGTTTGGTTTGGTTTTGAAGAAATGCATCAGAAACAGCCAAATCTATAGTTAAGCCCACTTCCTGGGTTGGAAATCTGGTTTCTTAATTTTTCTGGGCTTTAGTTTATTCAGATATAAAATAGGGAAGAGGAGAGCATGTACCTCATGGGGCAATAGTGAGGACTCAGTTATTATATATATAGGCTGGCTTGCAGCATGAAGTTTCTATAATGAGTTCTGAGAAGCTTCTCAACAAGTAGTAGCTAGAATGGTAATGTTTGAGAATTTTAGTTAGGACATTACAGGCCTTTCTCTTCCTTACACTCATTCTGGCTTATACATACACCCTTCATTTTAAAAATCTAGAACAATTCTAAGAGTATCTATTTAAATTGTTCTTCACTTCCTTTTTTTAAATTTTTTGCTATAGGTTATGTGCTTTCACAGAGAGAGTGAAAGAAAGTGAGAAACCACCTCCCAGAAGGGATGGCCATGCCACAATTCCTTCTCCTTCATTCTCCTCTTGGGATTTTGGGCATATATGCATGTGCACCGGGCATGTTTTTCAAACTTCCAGATCTAGGACTTGAACCAATGTAGTCACATGACCATGTGGGATCCAGTCACCTTAACCACCATGCCACGGACAATATTGTTTTTATTGGTTTTTGTTTTTGTTTTTGTTTTTGTTTTAAGGATGAATGAACTATCAGGAAATCTTGGCACAAGATTAAACAAAATTTTAAGACTATGGGATCCTGTAGGCCAGGTGGTGGTGCAGTGGTAATACAGCTGGACCCACATGGGAGATGTCCTAGGTTCATGTCCTGGAACCTCTCTGAGCATGCTCATTGTGCACACACACATGCCTATGATCCAGGCCAACCGAGATGAGGGGTAGATCATGACATGGGGACAGACCTTCATGGGTGCCTATCTCCCTCTTTGTCTCACTCTCATATGGAAGGCGTAAATAAACTTAGAAGAAAAATAAAAGATTGCAGAATCCTGATATTATCACCCTCTTGTTATTGTAAAATATTATGTAAGAGAAGACATCTGCCAACCTGGTGCAGGCCTCCTGGGACTGAATTTGTTCCTTCGCTCCCCCACCCCCCTACCACCCAAGCACCTCAAATCCTGGTCTCCCTATAGTATTGCTGCTGTTCACTATTCTGCTTTTCAATCTGCTGAAAACAGGAAGAGGAAACCAACTCAGACATTAGGAAATGTATATTTCCCTTCGACACTTCCCTTCCCATGGTGATTTCTTATTCAGTCAGAGTCTCCATGAGATTTCAGCAGTCATGCATCATACATGTTGACCATTAAATGCAAGACTTGGTCATGAACAGTTGAGTAGACATTAGTAAAGAGGAGAAAATGGATCTTGTAGCTGTTATGAGTTTCCTTAAAGCAAAATTGAGATTTCTATTCTCTTGGGGTCCTAATAGTTTTAGACAAATTCTATATTTCAAATCTCATTTACCCCAAATGTGTTCGTGGAATAACTTTCCAAGACAGAAAATAAAATCAGAGTAAAGTATGGTCTTTCTTTGTGCCACAATCCTAAATTATCTCATACTGGAATTCTGTCTCTTACCAAACTCAGATATTTCTCAGTCATGCAATTGTGGATTATTTTTTGTTTTCTTTTTGCATATTTTTTGAACGATTATTTTACTTAACTTTATTTATTTATTTTAATTTGACCAGAGTGAGAGAGAGAGAGAAAGTGAGAAAACAAGCCACCAGGTCCAAGACTTGAACCATGGTCGGCCATGTGGGAGTCCAGCACCCTTAACACCACACCACCTACCGGCCCCATCTTTTTACATGTTTTTAAACACAGAGCAAAAATTCTTAAAAATAAAAACAAGTGTGCTCGAATTTGGAAAGAATTGTTAGCCATGAACAAGTAAAAATTTTAGCATAAAATTTGTACACTCTTAACCAAGAAAATAAAATTTTAGGCCACATTGAAGTTCATCTATTTAATCAGATGTATCTTCACCAGTTAAACAAATCTGGCCAACATGTAGCCATT